AAATGCTTTTGCATACATCTACTGCTTGCTAGCCTTATATATATGCAAAAACACGCTAAGGGTTTAATAACCCTTTAATATGTATGCTACACAATCATAAACAATATTCAAAAAATAAATAAATGATTAATTGGCGGCCTGTGGGCAAAAATGCACACGGCTGTCCCATCATGCAAATAAAATGACTGTTTAGCTGTAGTAACAATGAATACAGTTCAATTAATTCTTCAAGGTCCCCGGGGTCTGCGGAGTGTACAGACCTTGATTTGAAAGAGACAAATTACTCAAACTGAAATCTAGTGGTGATAATTATGGAACACTTAGAAAACGAAGAAAAAAAGGGTTTTCATAATTAGGTTTAAAAAAAGACACAATAGGCTTTCCAGCTCCATTCAGGAACGTATTAAGTTGATGTCCTGGTGGTATTTATTCCCAGTCAGACTTAAATGTTTTTCTACCTGCTGGTAGTCTTTTACATGTGTGCTGGAAATGCCCTCCGATTTGTACTTTTTGGGATAACGTGCTTTGTCTTTAGACCTCTGCTTACTTGACGGATGTTATGAACTCCCCTCGCCTATCTTTGGTGACTGTTACCTGGGGCTATCTCTGCTGCCGAAAGAACGATTCTTAGATTCTTCCTTTTTGCAGCTATATTAGTGATTCCTCGACACTGGAAACCGACTCCTACTCTATCCATGGTGGAATTGCTGGATGCTCTAAATGGCTTAATGCGAATGGAGGAGATGGTGGCTATTGATGAGAATAGGATGGCTTTGTTCTTCAATATGTGGTCTGCATGGATCCTTTATTGATTCTCAAACCTTTTCTAGATCAACTCAACACTCTCTTTATCACTGTATGCTAAGGAGGCCCATAGACACTGTTGGCTATGTGACCAATGGAGCTGGTAGTACTGGTATCGTATAGATGCTGCAATAGAAAGCTCTCCTTTTTTGGTTAAATAGTATTACCGTTATCATATCCCTGGCGGGTAGGTGCTACAATATGTAGTCTGCATGGATCCTTTATTGCGATTCTCAAACCTTTCCAGATCAACTCAACACTCTCAATCACTGTATCTTAAGGAGGCCCTTAGACACTGTTGGCTTTGTGACCACCGGAGCGGGTAGTACTGGTATCGTATATGCTGTGATAGAGAGCCCTCCCTTCTTTGGTTTAATGGTATTACCATTATCATTTCCCTGGCGGAAGTTACTGAGAGGTTACTTTCTACATTTTTTCTTCTCTTTTTCCTTCTTAGTTGTTTGCCGTTCATTCTTACGCTGTGTCTTTCTTTTAGTGCCTTTCCTTCTTCCTCTCCCTTCATCCCCCTTTCCCACATTGATAAGTTCTTATATTTATAAAAAGGTGCCTTCAAGTATAGAGTAGTGAGAGGACTAATTATTTTTACTCTGACTGATATATTGTTATTAGGGATGCACTGAGACCGGTATTTCGGTATCGAGTACCAATATTTTTTCTCCGGTATTCGCTGATACCGGAAGTCCCATTAAGGAAGCCAGGCAGCGTGGTAATGACTCGCCACTTGGCTTCCTGATTAGCCGGGAGGCGTGTAAAGACTCGCTACCCGGCTTCCCGATTAGTCACCAGGTGATGAGGGAACATGAAGCCGGCTTCCCAACCAATCAGGAAGCCGGGCAGCGAGTCATTACATGCTGCCTGGCTTCCTGATTGGCTGGGAAGCCGGCTCCATGCTCCCCCGTCACAAGTGATGGGGGAGCATGGAGCCGGCTTCCCGGCCAATCAGGAAGCCGGGCAGCGTGTAATGACTCGCTGCTCGGCTTCCTGATACCGGAAGTATCGAGCTAGGCATCAGAGCTTTAGGGGGAGTGCAAGTACTCGCCCAAATACTCTGCATCGGTGTTACTAGTCGGTGATACTAGTATCGCTGCATCCCTAATTGTTATTACTGGATTTTTTGGTCGCTCTCTGTACGTAAATGCTGAATGTTATTTTTGGAATATGTTTAATAAACTTAATGTGAAAGGAAAAAAAGTCCATCGAGTTCAACCAACTGAAAAAAAAATAATAAATAAATTGAAAATCTCCATATACAGGAACCCACAGCTGATCCAGAGGAAGGCAAAACCCCTTTCTTTTAAAGGACAGTCCAAATTGCTCCAACAAAAAATCCTTCCCGAGCCCCTAAGGCAATTGGATATTCCCTGGATCAACAATCTCTGGTGTTATAGGATAATGAAGGTTTAAAGTTGTCAGGAAAAAATTGGGTCAAGGTTATTTTTTCCATTTGATTAAAAAAAAGGAAGAGAAAGCGTTGACTCCCACGTACTCCCAACACATGGGTGGAAAGATTAAGTGCAACAGCTAAAGCTATATCTGAAGTGTAGAATATTCTCTAGGAAAAAAAAAAGTTTCAACATAAGGGTTTTATTTAGTAAAAATCTAAATATGCAAATTGCAGCTGCTCGCAGCAATCTGTCATAATTCTGAGAGGGTGATCAATTTAATTTGCCTGTTTCTGTAAGTGGGAGAACTTGCACAATTGGTGGCTGACTAAATACTTTTTTGCCCCACTGTACATAGTTGGTGTCTAAGGTCCCTGCCACACCATCAAGAGTGCGTTCCAGTGCGATCTGCAAAAAATGCTGCAAACACTATTTTTTGCAGATCACACTGAACCGGAATGCAGGCACTAATGTGTCACGCGTTCGGTTACCGGGGATCGCACGTCAGGCGGAAGGCGTGGCTCTGGTGCCATTGAGTTCAATGAACCACCAGGCCCCCTCCCACCCCCAAAAAACTGAGCTGGCCAAACGCACTGGAACGCACTCCTGATGGTGTGACTGGGCCCTGAGCAAGCAAAATTGTGTTTTTCAGTATATTCTACAGAAACAAGTTTACAATGTTTCTAAAATGTTAGTCTTTGCAAATTGTATCTGTTTGTGTCTTTGCTTGTTTACTTTACAAATACCCCCCAAAGGTTGTCTCATGACCCTTACTATCATGATTAGTTTTGTATACGTGCAGGAATTTTATTGGTTTATGCTCTGCCACCCCCCCTTTTAGTTTCACATATAACCTTTTGTTTTAACAATAAACCTTTGCATATAGAGTGAATACAAAGTATTCCAAAGTACTTATCTGAAGCTGGCAGCACGATCGAATCCCAGGGAACCTTAACGAGCCAAGTCCTACCAGGGGTCGTGGGTTCGAGGCCCATGAAGGGTTCCAGTCCCTTCAGAGTCGCTTTCCTGAGGGACCCTAACAAATGCTAGCTAAATGGTCGCTGTGGATTATTGCACTGTGCACAACTCTTTAGAATGACAAACGCTGCTACAACACTAAATAAGCTTACAAAAGCTGACCCCCCCCCCTCCCCCCCCTGTACATATGAGAATTACAAATAAATTACAGATTGTGAAGCCCATTCATAAAATGTGGGAAGAAGTTTTGAGAATGCAGTACTTCCTGCAGTACACTCTGCCTAATGCAGCAGAGAGAACCCCATGGCTGGAGAAGACTTGGTCATGTGATTCTGACAGGTCATGTGGTCAGGCTCTTTATTTTTTGATCTCCCATTCTTTTGAATCATGCTCATCTGGCTTTGGAACACCCCGTGCTATATAAATGTGCAGAGCTCTTTTTCTTTTTAAATGGGCACGGTACGACAAGAACAATGTACCCATTTGTGTTGCTTTCCTTGTATTGTTTACTTGATTATTATATGTGTAGTGTCACTTTAAACTTTTTCATTTGATTTTCCTTTTTTCAGCCTTTTTTTTTTTAATGGCTAATAGGCTAATGTTGGGCATTTTTTTGCGACAAGAACAGGTCTGGGATAGATGAATGGAGCCATGACCCTAAGGAGCCATTTTAAAACCACTGCTCCTTTTAAAAGCAACAAAAACACACATTCGCCGTTGACTCCAATGGATTTATCCAAAATGGCAAATCTGTGCTCACTCCCAGTCCAGATCAACAAGTGGTTTTAGAGAGATTTTTTTTTTGTGGTAGAACACGCAGGGTGAACATTCTGCACCAATTTCTATGTAGCTATAAGAATGCCGATAACAATGGGATGATACATACCATGCAGAGGTCTTTGTAGGGCAGTTTCTGAAACTTGGTATCCGTATTTCCGGCACACAGCTCCACGTAACCCAGAACCACCTGAAACACGGTGTTGTGGATGGCTTGAGTGAAGTGCATGTGCAGCTGGTCCATTGCAGTCTAAAAAACAAAAGACGCCAGAATCTTAAATACCCTCAAATGTGCCAACCTTACCAAGCACACGACCTATCTTTATAAAGGTCATTAAAACCATTACCATACTTCTTAAAGTATACTTTTCAGTGACTTTACAATGAATACATTCCTGACATGTCACATTAAACTACAATAGTATAATTTTTCAGAACAGCTCTACCTTCGATCATTAACAAGCTCTCCTTTACACCAAGCCCAGTGACTTTGTTTAGGCTTAGATGATATCATCAGTCTGCTGCAGTCAAAATGAAGCATTTCCTCAGTCTCCTCAACACCTGCAATGTTCTAACTTTGAAGCAAGTCACAAGGCGAGAGGCTGCTTTAGGGACTGTTATGCGTCAGACATTTGTGAATTGTTATTGGCTGTTGCGGTGATCACACAATTAGCAGCCTGTCCTTCTGGCTTCCAGGGACTGTCGGTAACAATACAGTTACAGTCTGTGGATGCGCTACAGTATATATCGCTCTCGACACAAACTAACAATATATATATATATTATAGAGCAGCATGGAAAAAGGTCCCAGTGACTGGTCAGCATGGTCATGTGACTGAGCTGACCAATAAGATTATCTGTTGAGCCTTCTTTCTTGTAAGGCAGCATCACAGGGGAAAGAATGGGTTCTCCGCGGTCAGTACTGTGACATGGCCAGTATGTTGCTACACAGCCTCTGGGTCTGCATAGTAAAGTTTAAGTTCCCCGACCATTATACTGGTTGGTTTTCTTTTAAAAGACAAAGGGGAAGGAAACAAGAGAAGTTCATTGTTAGGGTTTATTCTACTTCTATACTACTACTGTTAGGGTTTACTATACCACTATAAAAACAGGTGTTTCATATTTTGGAGCCTTTTAGTGAATTTTTTCAAGTAGAAATCTCTTTCTTTTAATGTCTGAACATCAGATTCTCTTTAGAATTTCTCTTTAGAATCTCATCGACTCTGCAGCATTGTCTAAGCTGTGGCTTCTATAGAGGAGACACGGCTCACTATGCCTTCACTAATCCCAGGGAGACATTCAGTCATACATCACTGGGAGCTGAGCATCAAAGTGCTCCTCTCATGTGGACAGGCATTTTTAATTGGATTCACACAGGTGTGAGCAATTGATCAGCCATTGCCATTTATTTTCCAATTCAGATATTCTTATCTTCTCAGCACAGGTCTGTGTACTCCTTGGGACTGGTTTGCATATAAAATATCAGTCTGCAGTTGTCCTCGATAAACACAGGGCAGTGGAAACAAAGGTCCCAACGTTTCACATGGCCAGAGACAGGTGCCATATATAGCAGTGAAACACAATAACGTCCAAGTTTATATTTAAAGTGACATTAAAGTCAAAATCCCCCCTAATGCTGCTTTATGGACTTACCTTAAAGTGACAATAAACCCTCAGATTTTTTAACATAAACCAATACTGTAATGTGTGCCTTACCGTAATCCATGGTTCTTTCCCTTCTCTTTGCTGCTCTTCCTTTTAAATCTGTATCTGTTCTCATGCTCTGCAGAACTTCTGTTTTGCAGCAGACTGCCTTGTCTCTGGAATGGATACATGGTGTCTGTGTGTACGTTTGTAATCTGAGCCAGCACTACAGGAAGAGGCCCTGAGCTGAAAAGGGAAGTTCTCCCAAAGCATGAGAAGACATGAGGATTTAAAAGGAAGAGCAGGAAAGAGAAGGGAAACAACCATGGATTACAGTAAGGCACACATTACAGTATTGGTTTATGTTAAAAAATCTGAGGGTTTAATGTCACTTTAAGGGCTGCACAGTCAGGAGTCGCCAAGGTGTGCACCGATCGTGCTGTGGGTGTTATTATTTTCTAATGGCACCCCCAGTTGCGCCAGGTGCACCGCGCGGTTTCCCACTGCAATTCCGAACATGATCACTGCTAAAACAGCCCTGCGTTGTGTATCGCAAAAAAAAAAGGTACTTATACCTTTTTTTCTGCAATTGCCGCGTGGATGTCACCCCATTGAAATCAATGGGGACACGCGGCAATCGCTGCCTGCATTGTGCAGGACCACACGATGCGGGATTGCGTAGGTCTGCACTGGGCCTAAATGATGCTTCTTAATCCGATCATCATCTTCTTTCCAGTAGTTTTCAGGAATCCCTCCAGCGCTGTTGCCGGTCTCTGATCCAGCGCTGACAGCTGTGTCTTCCTGTGCACGGAGTCTGTGCGGGTGCACGCTGCCGAGCTGCTTTCATTGACTTACCGTGTGTCTCTCTTCTTCGCACAGCCGAAAATCTCTACTGTGCATGCGCCTGACCCATGATCCTTCACGGCCGCTAGAGAATCTTCAGATCTTCGGATGGGAGCGAGCGGCGGAGACACAGGTAAGTTTTCACCTTTTTGGTAACTTTTTTTATTTTTTTGAATGTTTTTGCATATATCAACTGCTTGCTAGAAGTAGATATATGCAAATAAAAAACGAAGGTTTAATTCTCCTTTAAGTTCTGTTAGTAATAAATCGCAGACATTTACTGTCTGGGAGAAAAGTGCAAACTGAGCTTTAGGTTTACCAATGATGATTTCATTTAATAGCTTTAACAGTTCCACATAATACACAGACCAACCCACATTGGTTCCTTTCCCCAAATACAATTTAAAGTAGAAGTTATTGTAATTACAAAAATCCATATATCTGTATAGAAGGAGCCACATGTCATTCGAGTCTATAGAGGCGTTAATGAGCAGGCAGCCCGGCATCTAGTCTCTAGTGAAGTTATCCTTTGGAGTGTATTTTAACCCATTTTCAGACCACGTTAGCCATGTGGCTAGTGAATAAAGTTAAGAATGGTCCATATTTTGTAGCATTGCAATTACTGCAAACACCTAAATATTGTATCTTCTTTAATGTTTAATGAGGTTACATGTTCACTCTTTAAATGCCCTCCCTACCCCATGTAAGCCACCTACTAAATAGTTACCATCACTCCCGAATTCTTCAGTATGCAGCCATGCCCAAAGCTGCACAACCTTTGTTTAAAGAAGTCTTGACAGCATCCAACTAGTACTGCATTTGCAGGTTATTTAGCCCATTAATCTTTATGGCAGCAGCCATAATATTTGGAATGTCTGGGAGCTGCCACGAGTATGGACCAGCCATAGTAAATAAATAGGCTGTGTGACAAGCATAGGTAGGAGGGGCTGGACACTGCTGTACCAGGCAAAACTGCACAGTGAAAAACTCGGGAGTGGGGCTAAAGGTTAGTACTGTGGTAGATGTAAGGGAAATCTTTAAAGGACAACTTCACTATGCCTGTGTTGAGCTGCTTCTGAGAGATGAGCTTATCAGTTTGCTTCATCTCGGTTCATTGTCCAAGCAAAGACTAGGGGAGGGCAAGACCTTGTTAATAAACTTGGCGTTTGCCCTGGCACAGCCCTGTGAGCTGTGTATATTTCACAACTGAATAGAGAGAAATGTAATCATCCGACAGGTAAAACAGCTTCTTGTATGTATTTTATCTGTGCATTTAGCTATTCAGCTTAAAAGCAACTCTGTAAAAAACAAGAATTTTACCTACTAATCCCTTGCAGACAGATCCAATCTCTGCTCCCTTGCAGACCTAAAAGTGCAGCTGGAATCTTTAGCATCCAACATTTCCTGGTGTGTCAGGTGTCTGAATTCCCCGCAGTGCACTATGGCTGCACCTGCCGGTCACTGCATCATTAGTGTGTCCCTGGGGTTGTAGGGACATACCACTGACGTAGCAGCCAGCGAGTGGAAGTGTCAGATGCTGAAGATTTCAGTGGCGTTTTTAGAGTGAATTTTGCTGCCTCGGGACTGGTGAGTAAAACTGTTCTTTTACAAGCTGCTTTATTTTTTGGCAACAAACTTGCCCTAAGAAACAAAGAAGGAAATTGATATACTTTCAGACAAACAGATCGTTTCAACTACGAAATGCACATAAAACCACTCTGGCATTAAAAACTTTTTACTGTGTAATGATGAGCAAAGTGAATACTAAATTTAATTCCATAACGTCACTGCATTTCTTCAGCAGAATAAAACTGAGTTGGCCAAATTAAAGTAGTTGAAACAAACTTTAATGGTGGCTTTTATGCTTGAAATGTTCATTGCCAATCTGGTTCACAATCATGCCTTGTTAAGATTCATTTTAATTACTTTTTTTTGTACTTTTCTGATCATTTTCATGTTTAAATGGAAACTTTTTAGTGCTCAGATCTTTTTTTATAAATCATGTTTATTTTGCGTCTAACGTGTAAAATTCAATAAGCAGCTCTTACAATTTACCAAAATTGCCTCGAGTTGTTCTTGGTACAATACTGTAACGTAATAACAAGTAATGACATCAGGTGCCCAAAAGGAAGGTCAATATACAGTATAATAGAAAAGAACATGCAGTGTGCTTGCTGAGATAGTGTAGTTCACTAATAAAACTGTGGAGGACAGATCCCGAGGGATGAGAGAAGTAGATATAGGTCAGTCTCAGTGAATATGATAGAATTGTCGGCTCAGGATAGTAGGCAAAAAGAAATAAAAACCAGGATACGTAACTGGCCTCCTGGGCTGTATGCAGGTAGAGTGTGTGGCTTTTCTGTGCAGCCATTTGGCAACTTCCTTAGGTGTGTTGAAAAAAAGGATGATTTGCCCTCTGCCACCTTCCACAGCTTTGCCATACAAAGCATGGAGTATGATATCTCCGAATCACTTTGTGGCAGCAAGAAAGGAGGGACATTGTTTTTAATATCTGTGTTGAAGTCAGGGAAGATCGTAATGTGGTCGCCATTAATGTTATCCTCACTGGTAGTATGTGTAGCTTAAAAGAACTGTATCCCTGAAATTAAGCAACGGGGCAATGATGGACCAAGGGCTGGTCCCAGGCGATGGTGGTTATGGTCGTATGCTCGATTACAAAGGTGGTTCAGGGAGGGCAGGGGGGACTCCAACTGACTTACCTGTTCCTGGGTTTGTAGGGTCAGGGGAGGGTGCACCTGAAGACACTGAGTCATCAGAAGAGGAGTCAGAGCGTACAGACTGAGGTGAGTTCACATGTGGGGCAGAGCAGGCGGCACTGCCATGCTACGGAATCTCAAAGTGGGCCAGATTCTCTGCCAAAGAAAAAAGGCACAGCGCTCTCATGGAGGTGTGGGGAAAGATTCTCTGCCAGCCTTAATGGACAGCCTTGGCCAATTTACTTATAATTACGTATACTATATTTAGAATTATGTATACTATATTTATTTGCTGCTGAGCTATGTCGACCATTCCTGTACCATACTTGTCTAACTGTTCAAAAATAATAATAACAAAAAAAATTATAATAATAGTTGGAAGTCCTGAAGAAGAGGATGCAGATTACCGAAATGTGCTGGCTTCCTGTATGTTTAACCTCCTTGGCGGTATTCCCGAGTGTGGCTCGGGGTTAATTTTCAGTACCATAAGCGCTAACCCAGAGCCACACTTGGAAATACAGCGTAGCGTCTCTTACCTTGTTCACGAGCCCCGCTGTGTCCTCCGGCCAATGCCGGCATCCGTCTTCTGGGTTCCGTCCCTTGCAAGCGTCGCAGGGGGGGCAGAACCGGCGGGAATTTTAAAAGTAAAAAAATATTAAATAATCAGACCGCCAGGGAGGTTAATAAACGTATTCAGTCGTTCTCAACAGTCAGTGTCTACTTTGAGCCTGCGTTGGATGAAGATATTGCCCCTCCAGTTAGAGTGGAGTGCTTGTGACTTTCTATTACATTTATACAGAAGGCTGATGGCATCAGTTCACCCTAGGCAAAGTCATTGCAACCAAAGGGAGAGCTTTTTAATAATATAGGTACTGAATTAAAAAAAAATTATACTGGGATATATTAGGAAATTGTTTGTGTCAGTAAAGGTACTGAGAGGTGCAAAAAAAAATAATATATATATCTATCGATCTATCTAGATCGATAGATAGAATGTGTCTACTGTGCCTGCATATATAGAATAGGAAGTAATACTGTGCCCATCACAAAACTGGTACCGAGCAGAACTGGGCATATATATATACAGAATAGGAAGTGGTTCTGAGCTACACTGTATACATATATGAAGCAACTGTTTACAGTTTTGTTAGCTCTCACTAGTGCAAGATGAGATACCAGACACGGTTGGAAATTTTTTTTGTTTACAAAAGTTCATATCCATGCAGTATGTAATTTGAATTGTAGATTGTTTCTTCGCTGGAAAGCTCCAGCATGCTGATTGAAGACAGAGTCAGGAGAAGATAATTTTTCAAAGTAATTTATTAGGGGAGAGCTTGAGAAGCCAAGGAACGATGATGTGATGCGTCACCGAGGCTTTCATATACTGGATAGCTGAATGGAATAATGTATGCTCTGGGGTAAAACAGAAAACTCTAAACCAAGAAAAATTGACTGCGGTTGATCTGCCTACAAAACCTTCCGAGCCCAGCTCCATGGCTGTGATTCTAATTTTTAAGCTCTCATTCACGTAGGAAGTCCGTAATAACGTCATTGTCAATAGGACACCTGGAACAGGGCTGCTTTGGCAGCGCTCTTATTTTCTCTCCATAAATGACAACAGATTGCTGAGGCTGAATGGTGATTAAGGGCTCTGTTTATAAACTTGATTTGCTGTGAGATTCACATTGCATGTTTGCTGGACATTCATTCGTCTTTTTACAGCATTCAGTAACCATTTTTAAAGAGAACTCGCCCAATTCACCTATCACTTTCAAAGAGGATTTACCCATCAACATAAAACATCAGAGAGAGATTCCAATTACAGTGCCTTGCAATAGTATCCAAAGCTCAGCAAGATTTGAATAAGAATACACACGCTTCTTGTATTTAGACAGCTTTAAAATGGCTACAGTGGCTTTAAAATTGCAATTGAAGATTTAAGGAACAAATAACAGGGCTGTTTAGATATCGGTCTCATGTTTACCTTTAAAGTAAGCTAAGCGAGCTTTATGACTTCAGCACAGCCAAAATGTTTCCTGAACTTAATAAGCAGACCACTGATTGGATTTCCTGCTCGCCTAAAGCTGCTCTTTAATATAAGCCCAGAGGCTTCCAATTCCATGAAGATATCACAAGCTCTATTTGCAGGTTAATATTATGCAGTGCCCAGTGGTCCAATTAATTTTCACTAATTGACTCTGCGCTCTCTGTGAAATGTCACCTTACCTGTGTCTTCCCCAGTAGTCTGTACGCCTGCTGCACCTTCGTGTAATGAGCAACATCAAAGTTCTTGCAGATCTTAGCCAGTGCGACATCCAATTGTTCCTATGTAAAAGAAAAATATACATTCATGTCAGTATGAATTTATTGACAGTAGGAAGGCCACCATTAAAGCAGAACTCCAGCCTGAGAACCCCCAAAAAATTTTGAGAACCCCAAAATTAATCAGAGATCAGCTAAAAGCTTTTGCTGTGAAGCGATTACATTACCCTATCGCTTGCGAACTTACATAGTTACATAGTATTTGAGGTTGAATAAAGACACAGGTCCAACAAGTTCAACCTTTGTGTGTCTGTGTGTGATTGTGCATGTGTGTACATTGTTTTTAAGTGTACCTGTACCCCTGTATGTTGCAGTCCCTGAGGAAGGTATCTAAATGTTTTTTGAATGATTCAATACTCTTTGCTGATACCAATGCTTGTGTCAGAGTTCAAAAATCAAACCACTCTGACTGAGAAGAAGCCCCTACGCCCTTTGTGGTTAAATCTTTTCTCCACCAGTTTTAGATGGTGGCCTCTAGTCCTTGTTAGGGAGTTTACAGTAAAAAGTTTATTGCTGATGTTGCCATCACCACTAAACATTTTGTACATCAATATCATGTCCCCTCTCAATCTCCTCACTTCCAGCGTGAACAAGTTAAATTTAGTAACCTTGTCTCATAGCTTTGGTCCTCCATTCCCTTAATTAGTTTAGTTGCCCTTTTCTGGACTCTCTCCAGCTCCAGGACATCCTTTCTGTGGATTGGTGACCAAAACTGGACCGCATACTCCAGATGAGGCCGAACCAGCGATCTATAAAGTGGCAAAATGATTGCTTTGTCTCTACAGTACATTCCCTTTTTAATACAAAACAGTACTCTGCTCGCTTTGTTTGCTGCAGCCTGGCACTGCAAGCTATTATTCAATCTGTGGCCTACTATGACCCCCCAATCTTTTTCCATTTCAGACTTCCCTAGTGGAGTTCCCATTAATGTGTATTCCGCTTGCCTGCTTTTAACCCCAAAATACTTTACTTTAAATTTTTCAACATTAAACCTCATCTGCCAAATAGTTGCCCACTCCCCTATTTTATCCAGGTCCTCCTGTAATGTTATAATGTCTAAGTCCGTGTCTATTACCCTCCCAATTTCAGTGTAATCAGCAAACACAGAAACATGGCTATTCACACCCTCCCCGTAATCGTTAATAAACAGGTTGAATAACATGGGGCCCAGCACAGAACCCTGGGGCACGCCACTCTCAACCATAGACCAATCTGAAAAAGCCATCAATCAATACTCTCTGGACATGTTCCTGTAGCCAGACTTGCTTTCTACTGGACGACAGGGAACTTCATCTAGCCTCCTCATCAGCATCCTCCCTGCCACTGATACACCGCCTGGAGTCTATTAGGCCGGTGATGTCATTGGTTGGTGGGCAATACATTCAGCGATCTGTTTGATGTCTTAGAAATGCCCACTACCTATGACAGGAGTGTGCCCTGGCAGCTAAAGGTTTTCAACTGGGACTCCTGCTAGGATAGTGGAGTTTAAAGGGTATCGATGGTCAAAAAGGAAAAATAAATATATATTTCTGTATGAAATTTCCATCAATTCTATCCCACTCTTGAACCATGTTGATCTAGAAGTTTACCTATTTCCAAACCTTTCTATTTAGTTAAAATAAAACCATTAAAACTAATTTAAGTGAACACAAACACAATATAGTTCACATATTTTTTTTGCAAAATTTTAAAGCCAAGACTGTGTTGAATAAATAGATATCAAATATGGTCAAGCCTTTAAATTGCATGTGTAATAGAAAAAAGTTACGATACTCAAAATTGTCCATAGGCAAAACTTATATCCTGGGACTACGCATGTTTAGATATGTGCATGGGCACAGGGGTCACGTAACTCTTTTTTTCTGTATTTTTTTAATCAACTTTTTGTTATTACTTCTTTTATTTATGTACTTACCTCACTTTTTACTATCACAGGGGGGGCTAACAGGTGCCTATATAATAGCATAGTGTTGGTGATAGGACCTCCTAAGGATCAGGATCTATTAGGGGTCTCCCCTGCACTGCTTCCAAACAAATCAGTTCAGACACCAACCTAGTAGAGGTGATGGCTATAAGAAACATAAGTTAGTGTGAAGAGATGGCTTTTTCTAGTGGGTTCAAACAGCAGTTTGAACAGATGGGGGAGATACAGTACATGGAAGACCCCTTGTACAATTCCTACAAGCAATGAGTGAGAGACCAAATAGTGCTGAGAGTCAAAGGCTGGTTCAGTCCCAGCTGCAAGGAGAGAATTTATGGTAGGGATGAACTCCTAAAGTGGAAGCACCAAACGTCCGATAAAAACTCTTGCAGGAAGTAGCCTTTAGCATCATATGAATCACAGATGCAGAGCTTATCCTATCTCATAAAACCTGGGCTTCAACAACCATATTGAGACAGCCAGCAACAGAGAAGAAGGATGGTAAATTGGTCGTTGGGACAAAAGATCCTGACTATCTGGAAGATAGGACATCATCCTCCTGCCAAAAAGATCCCAGGGAATGGTAAGTATGCAAATCCTTGCAAGAAAACACTGTAGCAGAGTGCTGGAAGAGTCTTCTCAGAGAGGTTTGGAGTACTATACATTCCCAAGATCTTGCCAGATGGATGACATCACACTCGGGAGGAAGTCGGTTGATTGGTAGCTATAATATCTAACTTCCCCACCCCCCCAGAGCTTTCTTTTTTTAAAGTGTATGCTTTCCTGCAAGGGGAGACGCTTGAAAAGCAGACCATGCATTTTAGTTGCAAAGTAGACTTTCACTCTGCTAATGAAACTAGGCTAAATAGTAAAAGTGCCATATACACCTAACAATCTTAATTAAGAATATCTAAATGAATGAATAATCCGCTGATAAAATCTGAATATAAACACGTTCTGCATAATACATTCTTTACAATGGAAGCCTGAAAACACCACGGCCTTCATTAAATCGATGTCTTTCTAATGTGGGCCCAGGGATTATTGAAGCGCGACATGCCTGACATAAAATGAGCAAAAAAAGAAAGAGAAAATTCCAGTCATCTACAAGCCAAGCGGCGGGGTGGATGACTGACACATGAGAACCTCTCACTACCGTTGCTCCACTATGTAGTTTCCCAATTACTCCTGCTGAAACAAATCTGATGATTTGCACTTTATTATACAGTATGTTAAAGTGGAGCGGGGGGCACGTCTAGGATTTAGTACCATCAACATATAAAAGCTGATAGTTAAAGTAATGTCGGGGTAACACCGTGGGATTGAAAGTGAATATTTTTATATGTCGGAAATTTCAGAGGAAAGGAAGGAGAATGCGGGATGAGGTTCACCGAAGGATGAAAGTGCTAAAACTAAAATATGTATTTCATCACATTTAGCTGAGCGAAATGCAACCTTCGCAATGAAGAAAAGGTGGACAACCTGCAGGCAAAGTTGGTTTGGGGCCAACTAAAGGAAATGTATAGTCTTCTGAATGATTTTTTTTTTTTAGAAATGAATATGAGATATCATCTTGGTGGAAACAGCTTCATCAGGTTTCTACTTATAATCTGTAAGTCTATAGGACATGGGGGTAGCCATAGTAAGTCTATGTGTTTGATTTACTGAAGCAGCAGAGGCTGTTCTGTAAGCCACATCCACTGGATAAATTATGGAAATGCAGCTTTACTTTATTATCTAAGCTAAGAGAATATTCACATTACGCAGTGAAAATATACTCTACAAAGTGATTCCGAATTGTAAAACAAGACACTCCTTTTCCAAATGATGCACTATATTGCCAAACGTATTGGGATGCCGGCCTTTACACGCACATGACCTTTAATGGCATCCCAGTCTTAGTCCGTAGGGTTCAATATTGAGTTGGCCCACCATTTGCCGCTATAACAGCTTCAACTCTTCTGGTAAGGCTTCCACAAGGCTTAGGAGTGTGTCTATGGGAATGTTTGACCATTTGTGAGGTCAGGTACTGATGTTGGACGAGAAGACCGGGCTTGCAGTCTCCGCTCTAATTTATCCCAAAGGTGTTCTATCGGGTTGAGGTCAGGACTCTGTGCAGGCCAGTCAAGTTCCTCCACCCCAAACTCCCCCATCCATGTCTTTATGGACCTTGCTTTGTGCACTGGTGCGCAGTCATGTTGGAACAGGAAGGGGCCATCCCCAAACTCTTCCCACAAAGTTGGGAGCATGAAATTGTCCAGAATGTCTTAGTATGCTGATGCCTTAAGAGTTCCCTTCACTGGCACTAAGGGGCCAAGCCCAACCCCTGAACAACAACCCCACGCCATAATCCCCCCTCCACCAAACTTTACTCTTGGCACAATGCAGTCAGGCAAGTACCGTTCCCCTGTCAACCGCCAAACCCAGACACGTCCATTGGATTGCCTGACAGAGAAGCGTGATTGGTCACTCCAGAGAACACGTCTCAACTTCTCTAGAGTCTCTACACCACTGCCTCCGACGCTTTGCATTGCACTTGGTGACGTAAGGCTTGGATGCAGCTGCTCGGCCATGGAAACCCATTCCATGAAGCTCTCTACGCACTGTTGTTGTGCCAATCTGAAGGCCACATGAAGTTTGGAGTTCTGTGGCTATTGACTCTGCAGACAGTTGGTGACTTCTGCACACTGTGCGCTTCAGCTCTGTCATTTTACGTGGCCTACCACTTCGTGGCTGAGTTGCTGTTGTTCCCAGTTACTTCCACTTTGTTATAATACCACTAACAGTTGACCGCGGAATATTTAGTAGCAAGGACATTTCACGGAACACCTAAATCCAATGATTTGGAGGGGTGTCCCAATACTTTTGGCAATATAGTGTATCTCAGCAGTTATTAAAGCTTAGTCCCTTTTTTTTCTGCCCTATTTTGCGGAATACAAAAAACAGCTCAGGCTGCAGGATTCACCTGCTCTTAAGTGCCGTCCCCTACAGACTCACCAGCTTGATCCTTTTCCAAGTTAAATGACATGATTAACATCATTTAACAAAATTCCAGTGAGCCATGGAATCAAGGACCCATCCC